CTCAAACCAGGATGCTGTGAAGGCAATCGACATCCTCCTTATCAACTGATGATGTCATTGGTTGTCAGGATGCCAACGGCTAGAAGGTTGTAATAGTGCACAATGTGGCTTTGTTTAACCTCCCTGGTGGTATGATTATTTCAGATTTTTGGTGCTGAAAGCGGTACCATTATTTTGCATGGAAATTTGGCGTTTTATATTGTAGGCCTGTAATTCTTAGGAATAACTCACTGAAATCTGTCCGAACAAGAGTCTAGTAAACATCCCGGGTAGGATAAAACTTGAAACATGAAATCATAAATTATAATTTAATAAATAATCATACAAAATAATAATATAATAATAATAAATTTAATTCAATAATATAATCAAACCAAAAACACTGAAATTTGAAATATAGCGCCAAGTTCGCACATCACTGAGCAAAATCGCAAAATTGTTTTCAGTGTCTGATGACGAATTTCCCCACAAATCATTATCACTCAATTCTGCAAGTAGTTCTAATTTACTATCGCTTTTCTTTAGCTGGTCATAAACCGCTTTTGACCTAAAGGGACGCTTTTTGGACGCCATGGACGTTTCTCAGTTTCCAGGCAATAAGAACAGTAAAAATGCAGGTAGGGCACAGGACAAAACACTCGGGACAAAATGTATGTACAATGGTTTGATACAGTAATGTTTTACTATGTGATTTTAGTGAATGTCACTTTTTGTCATTTTCAAATTTCCCGCCGTTCCGTCCCCCGTACATCCCGATGCTCGCAGGGGACGGGAACCCAGATGACAGATGCCGGCATCCGCCGGATTACATTGCAGGAGGGAGCGCAGGACAAGGTAAGTGATCGAGGGATTGTGGAGCAAAGCCTCATGGTAAGCCCAAGTGTAGCTCGGGGTTACCGCTTGTGGTACTGAAACTTTACCCCGAGCTACACTCGGAAATACTGCCAGGGAGGTTAAATAAAAGGCAGGCTTGTTCCACCCGTTGGCTTGTATGCAAGATTTGGCCAATTTTTAGACACTTTGCCAAGGCACCCTTGAAGAAACCTCAATGCACCCCAAGGTGCCTGGGCACCCTGGTTGAAAAAGGCTGGCTTAGATATATTGTGATAAGAATCCTTGAGCTTCACCTGCTGGCTTGATAAAAAAAATACAAAATGTTCAAAATATTCATAGTCAATATTTTATATTTACCTAACAAAAAAACTATTGAAATAGATGATTACCTAAGAGATTTGTATTGAATATTCTTTCTTGGGTCTGCAGCATTCAATTGTGCATCCCAGCTTGATGAAAATGTACCTTGGCCATGTACTGTAGATGAAAAAATCTGCCATGTTAGAGTATTGTCGAAAGCAGTCTTTCTTAACCCTTTCAACACAGAGGAACCCTTAATATAGTCATTTTCAATCTCAGGGAACCCCGCTAAAAATGACTATACCTACAACTCTTGATAGATCAGTGGGAAGAATGTTCCTTACACTAGTGGCCATTGGGAAGAATTACCCCCTTAAAGATAGCTAAAAAGATCAATGGTGTCAATAGTGGAACTTATCTGAGAGGTAGAAAGTTCTCATTGCTCAAGGAATCCCTAGCACCCTCTGGAGGAACCCTAGGGTTCCATGGAACCCTGATTGAGAAACCCTGGTCTAAAGCATGCAAAAGATGAAAGGATAATAGCTATTTAATGTGTATCTAAAACCATATTTTATTTTAGCTTTCGAAAAAGTGGAGAAGGAACCTCTTGTGAGGTTTTACTGCCTTCAAAGGCTCCCTCTAATGGAGCCCCAAAATCTGACAGAGCTTTTAACCCTTCTCTATTCTATCTGAAGCTAAAGTACAAACAAGGTTTGGGTATATACAGGTGAAACTCGAAAAATTAGAATATTGTGCAAAAGTTCATTTATTTCAGTAATGCAACTTAAAAGGTGAAACTAATATATGAGATAGACTCATTACATGCAAAGCAAGATAGTTCAAGCCGTGATTTGTCATAATTGTGATGATTATGGCTTACAGCTCATGAAAACCCCAAATCCACAATCTCAGAAAATTAGAATATTACATGCAATCAATAAAACAGAATTTGTACATAGAACAATATCGGACCTCTGAAAAGTGTAAGCATGCATATGTACTCAGTACTTGGTTTGGGCCCCTTTTGCAGCAATTACTGCCTCAATGCTGCGTGGCATGGAAGCTATCATCCTGTGGCACTGCTGAGGTGTTATGGAAGACCAGGATGCTTCAATAGCGGCCTTCAGCTCTTCTGCATTGTTAAGTCTCATGTCTCTCATCTTTCTCTTGGCAATGCCCCGTAGATTCTCTATGGGGTTCAGGTCAGGCGAGTTTGCTGGCCAATCAAGCACAGTAATCCCACGTCATTAAACCAAGTTTTGGTGCTTTTGGCAGAGTGGGCAGGTGCCAAGTACTGCTGGAAAATGAAGTCAGCATCCCAATAAAGCTCGTCTGTGGAAGGAAGCATGAAGTGCTCCAAAATCTCCTGGTAGATGGCTGCGTTGACCCTGGACTTAATGAAGCACAGTGGACCAACACCAGCAGATGACATGGCTCCCCAAATCAACAGAGACTGTGGAAACTTCACACTGGACTTCAAGCATCTTGCAGTGTGTGCCTCTCTATTCTTCCTCCATACTCTGGCTCCTTGGTTTCCAAATGACATGCAAAAGTTGCTCTCATCAGAAAAGAAGACTTTGGACCACTGAGCAACAGACCAGGTCTGTTTTTCTTTAGCCCAGGTAAGACACTTCTGACGTTGTTTGTTGTTCAGGAGCGGCTTGACAAGAGGAATACGACATTTGAAGCCCATGTCCAGGATCCGTCTGTGTGTGCTTGTGCACCTTTTTCTTCCACACTTTTCCCTTCCACATAACTTTCTATTAATGTGCTTTAATACAGCACTTTGGGAACATCCAACTTCTTTTGCAATTACCTTTTGAGGCTTTCCCTCCTTATGGAGGGTGTCAATGATGGTTTTCTGCACAACTGTCAGGTCAGTAGTCTTTCCCATGATTGTGATTCCTACTGAACCAGACTGAGAGACCATTTAAAGGCTCAGGAACCCTTTGCATATGTTATGGGTTAATTAGCTGATTAGAGTGACACACTTTGAGCCTAGAATATTGCACCTTTTCACAATATTCTAATTTTCTGAGATTGTGGATTTGGGGCTTTCATGAGCTGTAAGCCATAATCATCACAATTATGACAAATCACAGCTTGAACTATCTTGCTTTGCATGTAATGAGTCTATCTCATATATTAGTTTCACCTTTTAAGTTGCATTACTGACATAAATTAACTTTTGCATGATATTCTAATTTTTTGAGTTTCACCTGTATACTCTACCTACACCCCTAACTGAAGCAATAAACTAATTTAACTATAGGAGTTAAAATTCTATACTTACCTTTTGGATGCAAACAACTAAATGTTACAATTTAGCTCCAAACAGTGTTTTGCCAAAACAGTACGTTTTTCACTTATAAATTAATAAGTCATCCATCTGACCACTTTCACCTAAAATGTGATAGATGCCTCTGTAAAAGCAAAGGTAAATTATCCAGTGTGTTCTCTATGGCTTATTTTGACAAGTATCCGCACAGGAATATGTCTGATTAGTGTTTTTGTATCTTGCATTAATTAGTTTAGGATTTTCAGCAAGTAAAGTACTGTAGAATAACACAGTAGCCCATGCAGAAGAAGAAATAAGAGCATAGACAGAGTGGATTTTAAACTAGCTAAACCATTTTAGTCTTACTAAGTTTAATAAATTGCAATTTCCCAAAATGTTCTCTTTTTACAGAGAAATTGCCTTTTAATGGGATACTGCATTCAATATATACATTAGCATAGGTAATTTAAATGCATAAATTCCATGCGGCAAACTGCGCTGATGAGTGTTAAACAACTTTAGTTCAAAAAATAAACATAATCAAAGCAGCCATAATGCTGCTTGTTCAGCGTGATCAAAATAGAAAGTAGTACAGAAAATCAGTGAGATGCACATCCCTCCATATACTGACTTGGGAATGGCTGCCACACAAGTAGTAATTATGGCAGCACTTGAAATATTACTTTGAATTTCCAAATCTATTTTTAGGTTTTTGTTGGAATAACATTCATTAATGTACGGGGAAAAGAAAAGGTCAGTTCATCCAAAATTAATTTTCCTGCCATAGCTCTGGCTCTATTCATGCCCACCTTGGAGTTTTGGGGCTTTATTCCTTTTACTTCAATCTCCATAGGTAAAGGCCATGGCAATTAAACCTGTGGCCTTGCGGTATTGTTGCACCCCCTCCTTCCTTTTTTTCACTCCTTTTTATTTTAAAGTGGTAGTGAACTCTGTTCTGCTATTTTTACATACAGGTAAGCGTATAATAAAAAAAAAGCCCAGTGAGCAGTGTCAAGGTGTTCTTAGGCCTATTCTAAGCGGGCTTTTTTGTGGCATTGGCATAGTAAAGGCTTCTTTCTGGCAACTCGACTATGCAGCTAATTTTTGTTGAAGCATTGTCGTATTGTATTTCTTAAAAAAAAAAATGGTCTTTTAACCACTTACCCTCCAGAGGATTTACCCCCCTTCCTGACCAGGCCATTTTTTGTGATAGGGCTCTGTGTTACTTTAACTGACAATTGTCACTGCACCAAAATTTAATTTATGTCCTTTTTTTCCCATAAATGGAGCTTTCTTTCAGTGGTATTTGATCGCCTGTGCGCTTTTTATTTTTTGTGCTATAAACAAAAAAAGACCGACAATTTTAAGAAAAAACAATATTTTTGACTTTTTGCTATTAAATATATCCAGTAAAAAAAAAAAAAATAAAATTTCATCATAAATTTAGGCCAAAATCTATTCTGCTACATGTCTTTGCCAAAAAATATCCCAATACGTGTAAATTATTGGTTTACATGAAAGTTATAGCGTCTACAAATGGCAGTATATATACTGGAATTTTTTTTATATATACTAGTAATTGCAATGATCAGCGACTTATAGCGGGACTGTGGGACTGCGGTGGGCATTCTGACACTGGGGGGAAATGACTGTCACTGACATCTCCAGTGAAGTGAATACAGTGATCAGTGCTAATAAAAAGCACTGACACTGTACTAATGACACTGGACAGGAAGGGGTTAACATCTGCAATGATCAAAGGGTTAACTGTGTGCTGTTTTACTGTGTGCTGTGTGAGTGTTTTAGTCCTCATGCACACTGGACATTTTTTACAGCTGCTGTTTTTGGCCTATGGCATTTTTTTCTACAACCAGTAAACTCCCCAGCATGTTATCCTATGTGTCCATGCACACATAGACTGTAATCAGCGTTTTCTTTTTTGGGGGGGGGGGGGGGGGGGTTTAACGCTAAAAATGCAAGCACAATAAAAGCGGCAAAATACCGCTAAATGCTAATGCAAAAATGCTGAAAAACTCACGTTTTTAATGTGACTTTAAACAGCTAACGGTACCAGCATTATTAAAGCTATGCGGGGAATCACCAGCCGGGACCTGGTGATCAACAGCTGAAGCCGCCATCAAAGTCACGTATACATATATATGTGATTTAGCACAGCCCTGCCGCCCAGTAGCAATATTTCTGCTATAGGGCAGCGAGCAAGCAGTTAAGAGAGAAGCCTGTATTTCTCCTGAGGTTACCTGTGGGTTTTTGTTTGTATCCCAAACAATTCTTCTGTCAATTGTGGCTACAATCTTTCTTGGTCTACCTTAGAGGCATCACTAGGGTTGGTGTCACCTGGTGCTATAAAAACATGGTGTCACCCCACACCCCCGCTAGCCTGCCACAGTGCTGTGTCCTGCTGCTGCGGCTCTCTCCCCCAGCCTGCCACAGTGCTACTTGATGGTTTTTAACTATAGGTGTTTTTGTTGGTTATGTGTTAGAGAAGACACTGGTAGCTTGTGATGAGGCGGAACACTGTTTTACTTGTGCGGCTTAAGTTGCAAACATACAGAACACATTTCTGCAGACATCTTGGTTTTTGAAGAAAGAGGAAGGGAGAGAGAGAACCAACAAGTTTTCAGATATGCACAACTGGTAACCTTAGTGTACATTGTGCCATCTACTGGTCAAGTGATATTAACACACAATACTATATAGTACATGCTGTTGCATTCCAACAGTTTTATGGAACCAGTGGGCCCGTGTGCAAGATTAAAAGTTGGGCCCATTTACTTGATAAATAAAAAGAAAAAAAATTGTGGTATGGTTAATGCACTGTGTCAAAAAGCAGGCATGTTTTTCATTATGCCAGCCCCCTTTGTACATAAAATATGATTAGCTTGTTTTATAGTGTATATAGTGCAAGAGTCTGTAATCTACATTACAGTGCAGGGTTTCTCGACCATTTTGCCATGGAGGAACCCTTGGCAAAAATTTTGAGATCTCGGAGAACCCCTGAAATAATGTTCACATTCTACAGCTCATGGAACATTGGTTGTGATCAGTGAGCTGTTGATTTGTTATTTTAATTATTTTTAGTAATAACATTAAATAATAAATAATTATTAAAATGTACCTATTTAATGTGTGACTTCTGCTTGCCTTTTTCTGCACAGATGCTCAATTGTGGGTCAAACCTGAGACAAGCAGTGTACAGGGGTCAGCACAGCAAAGAATAGGGGTCTCAGCAGTGCAGTTGACAGGAGGTCAGCAGGGAACATTACATGGGGGGGGGGGGGGGCAGCAGGGCACATTACACGAGGGTTGTGAGGGCACAATACATGGGGGCACATAATGTTGGGGGGCACATCGGGGTACTTTACATTGCATCAGGGCACATTATGTGGGGGCACATTGCATGGAGGGAGCAGCAGGGCACGTTGCCTGCAAGGCACATAATGTTGAGGAGGCCCAGCAGGGCACAATATGTGGGGGGAGAGCCAGGCATACTATTATGGGGGCACAGCAGGGCATTATGATCTTTAGATGGGGGGCACATTGCATTGGGGGGAACAGTAGGGCACAGTGTGTGGGGGGCACACTGTGAGAGTACATACTGTTTGCTGTCCCTGTTCTCTCTGCAGTGTGTATATATATAATCTGTATTGTATATATACACTTTATATGCTGGCTCCTGCATTATACATATATATTATACACTGTATATTCAATGTTGTCCTAGAGTCCTGAGGAAGCCACTCCTCTCAATTAGTGGACGTCTTTCCCTATCTCTTACCCCTAATGGCCAACGCTGCTACTGCTTAATCCTGCGACCGATTTGATTCGTTAGAAGAGATGGGGCGGTCTGTGTCTACAGTGCTGCTCGGCAGGGAAAGTGTGACATGGAGCGGTTTTATGTCCTGGGGGTTGATATGATACTAAGCCACCTCAGCATTCTGTAGCAGGCATTCATAGGTGCAGCTGCAGCAGCTCAGATTTGTCACAGACACCTCCATGTGTGCAGTGTGTGTGGCTCAGCTCCACACACACTGCACACATGAATGATATGCCACTGGTGTCACCCCTCTGGCGGTTCTTATTAAGTGATTGAACAGTACTGACTACCATATTCAAGGCTTTGGATACCTCTTTATAGCCTTTTCCATCTTTATAACATTCCATTACCTTGTAATGTAAGCAGTGGTGTATTTAGGTTTTGTGCTGCCCTAGGCAACACAAGAATTGCCCCCCCCCCCCACCCCCCTACAGAAAGAGCCTGACATTGGCCAAGAGCACACCTGTCCTCCACTTGAGCCTTCCACTACCACTGCCCCCCAATCCATCAGGTCCCCATGCTGCGTGTGTCCCTTCTTCCATCTCTTCTTCCAAGGGGCAGTGCTGCCCCTCCTGAAAAATGCCACCCTAGGCAAATGCCTTGTTTGAATGTGGTAAATACAGCCCTGTATGTAATTCTTTTGACAGTTCTTTTCTGCTCCCCATGGCTCAATATCTAGCCTGCTCAGTGCATCCACGTGAGAGAGCTAACATACTCATTGCCTATTTATACACAGACACCAATTGCAATTTAAAAAGTCACAGATGTGAGTAATTAAAGTGAAGCTGCACACAAAAGGCTTTGTCCCCCTGTTCCTCATTAAGGATTGGCATCTTTTGGGGATCGGGAGGGGCACACAAATTTGACATGTACCCGCTCCCACTTCCGCTGCAATCGCCTAGGCGATCGGAAGTGGAAGTTGTCCTCCCCCCCTTCCACCCTATAGTCTTGACAGAAGACAGGTCCCAGAAGACTATGGGGCCATTCACAAAGCGCAGTGCTACTCGTGCAAGCGCTGGTGACACGGGACGGCCGGTGATCCCAACCAGTGTGAGGACACCATGGGATCAAGGGACAGATAAGTGTCTGTATTTTAAAAGTCAGCAGCTACAGTTTTCATAGCTGCTGACTTTCTTTTTTATTTTATTTTGACTGGACCTCTGTTTTAAACTTTAATTGCTATTTTAACCTGTGTGTGTGTCACCTTGTGTGTCTATACCAAGGCCAAACATTCCAGGGTATGAAAACGTTTGATCAGGGCCATTTGGGCAATTTCTGTTTGCATTATGATTTGAATAGGAGCCAATCAACTATGTGATAATAAATGAACTTATATGCTTTATGCCTAAAACATCTGACAGGTAGTAGCAACCCACTTTTGTTTGGATTTGCAAGTGGCTTCCCAGCTTAGATCCTGCTGATTGGTTTCTGTCTCCAGGCCCGCAGCAGTCCACGCTCCGGCCTTTGTATTCACTTATAGCTCCTAATGCACTGCCTCAGTGTTTCCTTTCTCTTTTCCAATGATTTTTATTGTTTTGAAAACAAATGTATACAAAGGAATACACATTTGACATATATCATTTGGCAGTTACAAATCATAAACAGATGCGTCACATAAGTTACCGGAATAAGAACTTACACCCATTCCTGGGTACGTTCCAGCATTATAAGACCGTTCCTTATATCCATGTACTAATATAGTCTTCAATACAAGGAAAACTGTATCCATTTTTCACAGGCAAAACTATTGTGCATATACTATATATATGAATGCTCATGAAATGAAAAGAAGAGACATAAGAAAAAACAAGAAAGAAAAGAAGGAAATGAGAAGAAAAGAAGTGTGAGGAGGTATAGTCCACCTCCACGGTCATCCAGCTAACTTACAGCTTAATTTATTTTCCCCTGAAATATAGTGGATCCAAGGGTCCAAAATATTTTTGAAAAAACTATTTGCCACCCGGAGTGGCTGATAGTTTTGCATTTACCATTTTGCATGATAGTTTTGTGTTTTATCAGTGCGAACCAGATAGATAAAGACCCCCATAATGTTGCCAATGCTATTCTAGCAGCTGGCAATATAAAGGAGATTAGGGTTTTTATGTGTGTCTCAGTGCCTCCTCTATTGTTCGGCCCGATAAGGCTTTTCAGGGGCATTTTATGAGATTAGTCATGAGGTTAGTTAAAGAGTAAATAAAGTTCCAAATATGGTTAGTCCCTGCCATCCTGACCACAGCTATTTTGTAGGTACCATGTACCAGCCTAAAAGCACCTTATAGTTACCTTCAATAATGGAAATGTTTCATTTTTCTGCCTAGTTCTTTCATCCTGCTTGTGTACTCTGCCTTTGGACAGACTCTTACCTTGCCACTACCATTGACTTTGGCCATCATCTTCCAACTGCTAGGTCACAGCTTCCTTTGGCCATCATCTTTTGCAACTGCTAGGTCAGTTCTGACTCACTGATAGGCAGTTCCTGACAACAGAAATCCCTAGATAGCAGCTGTAAACCCTGTGTAAAAATCAACATTGCATCCATTCACTTCCTTCAGCTCTTTCTTCTTCATTGGTTAGAATTATTTGGTTATTTACTGTTTTTTTTGGTGGCTCACCTTGATTTTTAAACAGAGGTTTCGCAAATGCTATCTAGTGATTTCTAGAGAGATGTAACAAAAAAATAAAGAACTTAGAACATGCTCTATATACAGGTAATTTTAGTTAGCATTGCAGTAGGATTGCCATGGGTTGGCATTTTGATGACTGAAAACTTACACTAGATGCCAAAGTCTTGACAACCTTGATCCATCAGCAATAACTGTGAGGCAACCCTTTGGATAACTAACTGAGGGCATGTGATACACAATTATTTTCTTTACTTTTCTCACTCTTACTTAACTCCCTTACGTCTAGATATGTGTTGCATTCTTTTGATATATATTAATATTGTATATATAATTAATATATAATGTGTAA